GGCAACCCACGACGGCTTTCATGCCAGCCTGTTGCAAAGGCAGAGCAGCGGGAGCGGTTATGAGTGTGTGTTCAGCAGAATCCTCCCCTTTGATGCTGTTCCCGAGGTGCTCGAGCCCCCGGAACGTGTGGGAGGGGAGATGACCCCGCTGGGCTGCAGCTCCCGGGGGACACAGCTCCATCATCCTTCACCCCCATCCCCAGCCAGCCCCCCGAGCTACCACGTGTCACTGAACATTCATCTGCTCAGGGCAGGGGGATCCTTCAAACCTAGTGACAGCGGCTCTCGGTGGCCCCGGCCATGTGCACAGGGGGGACGGGACCACGAGCCACCCCTGGGGTTAACGGGATTTTTCCACTTTACCTTCAGTTTCCTCCTGGCGTTAAATTCCTGCAGTTTCTTCTGCGTGCTGTCCATGTGAGCAAATTTAGCAGCTTTCCCAGTGACCCAGGGATGCTCCAGAGCTTGGTAGACGGTCAGTCTCTTCTGGGGGTCCAAGACAATCAATTTTCTGACCTGTAACCAATTTCAGACACACAAAAAAAGCTTCGTTTGTCCAAAGCCCCTCATTTCATTAGCTCACAAGCATTAATCTGAAGGCTTCACACTCAGCAGCCCCGGCACAGCCTCACTCACCAAATCCTTGGCGTTGAGGGAAACCTCATCCCACCACGGGGACACGAACTCGTAGTCGCAGGTGAGGATGCGGCTGTACATGTACTGATCCCCTCGCGGGTCGAAGAAAGGCTCGAAGCCGCAGAGCCTGTGAGCAGAGCAGAGGAGAGAGGAGCTCCATGCCGCTGCCCCAGCCCCATGGCACAGCCATGCTGGCGTTTGCCGGCTGCTCATGGTGGAGCAAACCATCTCACACCGCGGTGTCACTGCCCACGCGGCCCCGGCTGCGTTACTCACAGGATGTAGGTGATGACGCCCACGGACCACATATCCACTTCAGGGCCGTACGGACACCCGTGGAGGACTTCTGGGGCTGGAAGCACAGTTTGGGGTTCAAACACGTGTGTTTGGGGAGCTCCCAACAGTGTGGCCATGGTGGGAAGCTCACGGCAGAGAAAACACCCCATGGGCACCGCCAGTGCCTCCTGGCACAGCCGTCTGCCATCCCTGCACCGAGCTGTGCGCGGCCTCAGGCGGGGAGCAGCCTGCCCGGGTCTCCCTCCCGCTCCCCAGCTCACCGCAGTACCCCGGCGTCCCGCAGACGGTTTTCATGGTGTCCTGTTCATCCACGATCTTGGAGAGCCCAAAGTCACCTTGGAAGGACACAGAGGGGAGTGACGCTGCCATCGGGGAGGTGCCATTAACCCCCTTTGTGCCACGACCCCCCTGGGGTGTCCCTGGCAAACCCACCGA